ATCCACCAAAACATACCTGTGTATTACTTTTTACCCTTTCATTGCAGCAATTATCCACCAAAACATACCTGTGTATTACTTTTTTAATATTGAACAAAGCTGTATTTTCTCATGTTCAGTAGAATTGATAGTCAGTTATATAAGATCCCCATAGCTGTACGTGTGAAACATGTTCAGTAGAATTTATAGTCACAGTTATATAAGATCCCCACAGCTGTACATGTGCAGCATGTTCAGTAGAATGTATAGTCACAGTTATACAAGATCCCCACAGCTGTACGTGTGCAGCATGTTCAGTAGAATGTATAGTCACAGTTATACAAGATCCCCACAGCTGTACATGTGCAGCATGTTCAGTAGAATGTACAGTCACAGTTATACAAGAACCCCACAGCTGTACATGTGCAGCATGTTCAGTAGAATTTATAGTCAGTTATACAAGAACCCCACAGCTGTACATGTGCAGCATGTTCAGTAGAATGTACAGTCACAGTTATACAAGAACCCCACAGCTGTACATGTGAAGCATGTTCAGTAGAATGTATAGTCACAGTTATACAAGATCCCCACAGCTGTACGTATGCAGCATGTTCAGTAGAATGTATAGTCACAGTTATACAAGATCCCCACAGCTTTACTTGTGCAGCATGTTCAGTAGAATTGATAGTCACAGTTATATAAGATCCCCACAGCTGTACGTGTGCAGCATGTTCAGTAGAATGTATAGTCACAGTTATACAAGATCCCCACAGCTGTACGTTATATGGCTCGTTACAAAACTGCCCACTTTGCAGGAACACATACAGAATCTATATTGTTATCTAAATAATTTGTTTTATATTTTGTAATGATTTTGGCCTCTTACTAACTTAGTTTCACCTATATTTATGACATTTACTGGCGAACACTTTTCTTCTAAATTTCCTCAATTGTTTAAATCATTATTTTTCACTATCCAATACAGTTTTCAAGGAATATTACCGTCAGATATTTTCACATCTACAACTGTGGGGACCTTGTATAACTGTGACTATAAATTCTACTGAACATGTTTCACACATACAGCTGTAGGGACCTTGTATAACTGACTATCAATTCTACTGAACATGTTTCACACATACAGCTGTGGGGACCTTGTATAACTGACTATAAATTCTACTGAACATGTTTCACACGTACAGCTGTGGGGATCTTATATAACTGTGACTATACATTCTACTGAACATGCTGCACACGTACAGCTGTGGGGATCTTATATAACTGACTATAAATTCTACTGAACATGTTTCACACGTACAGCTGTGGGGATCTTATATAACTGTGACTATACATTCTACTGAACATGCTGCACACGTACAGCTGTGGGGATCTTATATAACTGTGACTACGCAGTTTTGTGTGAAACTTCTCAGTCTTTAAGTGCTGCTTCCTGGTTGTCCTGGTCAGCAATAGTGAATGTGCTGCTGAGCCTTGGGTTCTATGGTTATGGCCGTGAAACCCACTTGTTCAACAAGGAGCCATTCAGGTTGAAAACATGAGTTATTTTCCCCTTAGCTAATTTTCTGTGCTTGATCCAATTCAGCTGCACTTTATAAATAACTTGTTCAAGTTTATTGTTCTATAAACAGTTTATCACTTGATTAGAAAGGAATTTAATCCTGTGTTTTCATCCACATGTGCCCACTACAAGTAAAATATACATAAACAGCATACATATATATATTTCATTTCATGTTGGGCAAACTATATTTACTCTTACATGTGTTGCTCTAACATAATACTGTAAATGCTATTTATTATCATATTGGAGTTCAAGCTTTATGGAAAAGTCACTTTGTATTTTATTTGTAAAATAACTGTTTTTGTAATTTCTGTTAGTTTTCAAAAATTACTGTTGTTTCACAATTTGAGATCTATTGAATTTATAATTAAATTTTTTTCTTTTTTCCAGATAGTTTTGAAACCAGATTTAATAATAAATTCCATGATCTTTCTGACTTAATGCCTCCTAGCCCGTTTCAAAACATACCAAAAACTTACCCTAGCAAAAGTAAGTGTAGTTAGTTCTGTGTTGATTATTAAGAATAGTTTATTCATTATAGTGGTAAAAATCTAATGTAGACAAAACTCTTTTACACTTATTATTTATTTTCGTTGGATATAAAAGACTGTTTAGTGTAAGAGTTAGTACTTAGTTTATTTAGTGATTTAATATTTAATGAATATTTAATTTTCAGGACAGGAGTGTTAAAAGTTAATTATCTTAAAAGTAATAGTTATGACAAATTTCATTACATAACTCGGTAAGAGTCGTACATTGTGTGTGCATGTGTAGTAATGTTGACATCATCTTCTTGAAACCTCTGAGTTTTTCTTGCTCTGTGAGTATTATTACATCACAAAATCTCTAGTTTGTAGAAAATTCCAGTCCTCAGTTGGGAAGGTGTATATATCTATATAGGTGACCAAATGATCACAAGTTAAGTTCAGTCACAAAAAAGTTAGATAGTGAAAGAAAATGTGACGGTAGCCAGCATGTGAGTGATTAGCCTTAACAGGTGATTCCTATTGTGTTTCACAGCTGTAATGTAACAACAGAGATAGGAAAAATAATTTATCTTGTCAATTGTGTTCTAAAGTAACTGAACCAGGCTGTGTGGACATTTGACAAAAGGGAGACAATTATTTAAAGTTCAGTATACAACTGTGGTAACCCATGAGGTAACGTATGTGAATCTATTGCAGATTGTACAGTAGGAAACAGAGTAAAGAAAAATAATTTATCTTGTCAATTGTGTTCTAAAGTAACTGAACCAGGCTGTGTGGACTTTGGACAAAAGGGAGACAATTATTTAAAGTTCAGTATACAACTGTGGTAACCCATGAGGTAACGTAAGTGAATCTATTGCAGATTGTACAGTAAGAAACAGAGTAAAGAAAAATAATTTATCTTGTCAATTGTGTTCTAAAGTAACTGAACCAGGCTGTGTGGACATTTGACAAAAAGGAGAATTATTTAGAGTTGATTGAGATTTCCTGTAGTGTAAATAATTTTTGTACATAAGTTTGAC